AGGGTGTGGGTCGGTATGGGTGTGGGTGTGGGTCGGTGTGAGTGTGGATGTAAATCAACCGCGGAATGAGATCTATACTCGCACACACGCCTGCACTACAAACAATAACTATGGAATCGAATATTTGATTATTTAAAAGGAAACAATTTGGAAATGAGATGCCGAAATTCAATACTTTAACGTGAACACTAACACCGTTCTACATCTGCGAAGTGTGTAAGGCAGGGTGAACCGGGGTGTGAGTGAATGTTGGAAGAAAACAGACGTTTAGCACTAATCTTTCGTTACGTTCTCCGGAACATAAGAAAACAGACAGGATGTTCTGAATTATGTGCATGGGAGTTCGAAATGATCAAAATCAGTGAAAAATTGAAGAAGCAGGATGTTCGGAATGAAAATTGGTCAGAAGATCATAATGAACAGCGGCAGTTGACTTTTATAGATGAAATCCTCGAATTTGGCTGGAGTTTTCAATGAAAATAACCGCAAGACCCTAAAAATAAAAACAGGAAGACCATAATGGATAAAGACAGAGTGTTCGAAACTATGTTCATATTTGCTCTTCTTTGAGAGATCTTAGGTGTGAGTGTGGGCGTGGGCATTCGTATGTCGTCGTAAGAAACCTCTCTTAATTTCCACACCCACAGAAACCGTCACCCGTCCTTTAAAAAACAAATATTTGCTGCATAGATCATTTCTGAGCCACTAAACCTATCAGATAAGTGCAAAAGATAAGATTCGAACATGGGTACTTACAACTAACAAAGTTTCGTTCAGATTCTGAAGATCATATAATATATTTTTCTATGAAAACTATCATTTTCATGTATATAAGAAAACACGCCGAGATTTTTTTGTTTTCTCAAGTCTCATCCCCTACTTCAGCATTTTCATGCCTAGTTAATGGTGATATTCATCGATAATGTCGATCAGTCTCTTCAGGAATATTGAGTGGGTTATGGTTTCCAAATTGAATCATGCCAAATCGAAGCTCGTGATTTCCCTGGTTCGCGTGGATGCTCCCCTGGCCAACAGGTTTCAATACATATAATCGTTCTATTAGCGGAACATCATCAAGCACGCCTTCACGAACAAGTAAGTATGTTTGAACGAAAACCAAGCTCACACCATTCTGTTCTCCATATACAAGCCTACACGCGTAAGCACATTCTCGTTCTGTTAAGGTTAGAATTCCACCACCAAAATTTACGATACCCATCAATTGGCGTGAATCTTGATTTCGATCCACGACTCGGTTTTGTTGAGTGCGTGTGCGTGAAAAGATGATCCCAACAATCATCGATAACCACATCCACATCCACACCCATATCCACACCCACACCCACACCCACTCCCACACCCACCCACGCCCACCCACGCCCACACCCACACCCACACCCTCTTGGTCCAAATACGGCACTTGGTCATAATTCAGTTGTAATTATGATTGAAGCACAAATAAATTATATAGCTGAAGCATTTCTTTATATGAATCAAAATCATATACGATCTATTGAAATAAAACAAGATGTACATGAAAAATTTAATGAAAATTTACAATTAAAACTAAAGAAAACAGTATGGCAAAAAGGTGGTTGTCATTCATGGTATCAAGATGCTAAAGGTAATAATACTTCTTTATGGCCTGATTTTACATGGATTTATATATTATTATTGAAAAATTTTGATTATGAAAATTATATTTGCCGAACATGAATACTAATTTTTTTTATTTTAAATACAACAATAAAACAAAAGAAAAAAAATATCGACATTAAATTTTTTTTCCCGTATTTATCTAATGTATTAGTTCGTACTATTTGTTTAAGGAGATGCTTTCTAACATTTCGTACTTCTAATGCATTCATCATTGTACCAATATCAAATTATTATTTACTATACTTGGTCTTAAATCAGCACTTAATGATGATAAATATTGCTCTAAAAATGGTGGATGTTGACGTGGAAGGAATAAGAAGATGTCGAATAGAATAACAAAAAAATATGTTGACGTTATCTATATGGTATTAGATTTGATTCAGTTTGTTGAAGAAGTTGATGTTGTTAAGATGCCATTGATGACATGCATCAATAATTCATGAAGCAGTTGCTAATTAATTATCACATGGTTCGTCAGTTGGTAATTCAAGACAAGGTGATAGACTACCATGATTATGTTCAATTTCTTTTGCTTCAAGTAAATCAAATTTATTTGCTGATAAACGTGGATTACTAATATCTGATTTTGACAATGACGATGAACGATATAAACGTGCACGAACTTCCCAAATTAGATAAATGATGACAAAATAATATCGTTATATGATTATTTTGAATAAATAGAGATGATAAAAAGCATTTCTTTTTTTTTTCTCTTGTACAATATATTGATTCAATGCTCAATCATTTAAAGATAACGAGTAAAAGTAAGAATTTATTTTCTCACTTAAAACTAATTAATGAGGAATTATTTGTAGGTTAATCCTATAAGATTTTTTTTTAAAAACAATTTTGAATTCTCTACTATATTATAGAGTTCCTACATAAATTGAATGTTATAATAAGCTAAAACTCAAAATCCATATAAGTTTAGAAATATTTCTTGATAAACTTCATTCTATGTAAAATGACATTTTGTCAAAGATTAAGAAAAAACAAAATCATGTATTTATTTTTCCCAATTCGCTCAGATAATCAATAATAAATAACTGATTTTTACTATTGAACATGTTAATTAAGAACATATGCAATTAGACTTATGAAGAAAGACCCTCAATTAATTGATCACTTTTGAGTTAGGTCTATGTGCATCATTTAGATTCTAATGAACTATGATTTAGGTTATTATTGCTAGGATAATAAATACCATAATTCTTCACAGAAATATTCGAAAAACCAGTTTTCGAATTTCAACTTGAAACTTTGCATAGAGATAAACTTTAACGAAAATAATTTATTTGAGAAAGTTTCATATCTTTTTATTTGCTTTTATTTTGATATGAGAACACCAAATCTATCAATGTATAACTTATTTAGGATCTTTTCTTTTTATAAACACCATATTTACGTTTCAAGTTCATTTCATTAAAAGTCTCTTGAATATACAAAAATTTAATTATATGATTCTAATTAACGGATCGAATATTTCGGTTGAATTTTTGGTAAAGGTTTATTCATAGGAATTTGATAGTGCTGATGTTTTATTTTTGATGCCAATTCGAAAAGTCGATGGAATGAACACGGAAATGCAAGAATTTGACGCAGTTCAACTATTTCTTTTTGTGTTGTTTGCCAGGTAACTATTTGTTTTTGTGCGACTTTATATAATGATTTCATTATATCTTTTCGTATTTGTTCTACTATACTTGTGCATTCATGTAATTTGCCCAATAACAACTCATAATTTAATGCTTTTTCTTGAATATATGCAAAAGATGATGTGTCATATAATAAGTAAGAGTAAAATGAATACAAACGATGCTGACTTGGTATTTCTTGATCGCGGTTATATTCTCGTATTTTTTTTACTAATTCGTCATGCTCTTTTTCCAATTTCGAAGTCAACTCATGTATTTCTTCTAATATACACTCTCGTATTTCCTGTTGTACAAGTTCACACTCCAATAAATCTTCTAATATTGATTCCACATTCTCTTGTTGTTTCATGGTGAGTTGCTTTCTTCGTATTACAGCTTCTATGTGCTGACGTATTGCACGTTGTAAGTGCATATACATAATCTCTATTACACGTTTATGCATTGGTTCAAGAATTTTCTCTTCACAAGATGCCCGCCTAAACCAATATAGTGAATAGTCTGAATATCTTCGATAAAGAAGGAGTTCCTGATGTTGTTTTAATGTCGGGCGACGAAACCAAAAAAATGGTCTCGATTCATCAAGGTACAATATCTGTTCCAATGGAAGTTTATGTTCTGCATCAGGACGAACATCCTCATCATTAATCATACGTAGAAATTTTCGTCTTTTTTTCTCTGCTTTCCATACAAGTTTTCGAAGAAATTTTAATAGAGAACGTTTGAATAGAGAAAAACAATGCTTAGCAATTTTGTATACATGATGACGAAGACGAGGTCCGAAAAATTTGTAAGCACTTAAAATAAACCTAATAAACCAATGTATTTGATCAATTACATTACGATTAGTAAAATCATATTCTTCTTTAGCCATGGTAATAGCAAATCGAACAGTCATATCTTGAATATCAGGTAGTCGAATTATTTGTAAATAATTTTCTAACAAAGGACTATATACTATATTTGAAAAGAAAATTGAATCAACTTCTTTCAATGAAGGATCTGGTTGAGGTCCAATACCAAGAAAATCCAGAAGTGCAATAATAGATATAATATTATTTTGTTTAGGTAAATGAGTAAATAATTGTCGAACTGAATGAAATGAAAGTGATTGAATAGCAAAAGAAAACTGTTTAAATTCAATATGTGGATCAAGATTATAATGACCATTTTTATTACATATTGATTCAAAACTATGAGCAGAAGAAACAAGAGCAGTCAAATAAGGTATTTTTTCAATTTGATCATCTTCAAGAGTTATAAGGTCACCAGAACTAAAGCGAAATGTTTTAGTTGTTGCTGTTGCTAATTCATCAATATCGTTAATCATTGGTTTCCTATGTCAAAATGAAGAATGCGTGTCTGTTGTATTTATTTCGTTGTAATTTCCAAGATAACTAGAAGAGTTGACTTAAGAACAAACGTTTCTTTCCTTCCGAGGTAATGAAGACTTTTCACGTGCACATGGTGAAAAATGAATAATTACAATATCGTTCTCAGAACTGATAATGTTCACAATTCATGTGCGAAATGAAAAGGAGAAAGAAAAGATTAATGCAACTAAACTAATTATCTATGGGTCTTTGTTTACGTATATATTAAAACGGAAAGTTATTTTCTTGTTAATATCTAATTAAAATGTCTTGTAACCTTAGATCTTCACAATGTAATTTAAACGTGATTTCGTTTTCAAGGTTGTACTTTATATAATACGCCATATAACACTTAATCTCCTCAAACTTTTTATTGTCGTCTTTTTTGCAAAAACCAATATTTGCTGGAGAATCTATATGTAAAAATTAATTCTGTGAATTGAAATGGATGAGAAAAAGCTGAAAATGAAAATTACGTCATACTTTTTAGATACCTATTACATGTTGAATAACAAGCGCTGAATCGCATAGTCTTGCAGAATAATCGTAGTATGTCATGACTGACTTTAAACGTGATCACTATTGTCTGTCGATCCTGAGTTTATCAATGAAAATTCCAATGTGCCATCAAATGAATTACAGAGAATCAAATGCCTACGGAATTCGCGTTAACAATCACACAACATTCGACAAGAACGTAGTCAATCAGCGTCGTAAGGATGTTGGCTGTTGATGTGGATAAACTTAATATCTTCATCACATCTACAGGGTCAGAAAGAATATTATTCAAGGGGGGTAACGATATAATTTCAAACAGGTG